TCTTTCCTCACTTCTTCAGAGGTGCACCGGACTCGTCACTTGAAGCACTATAATAATTACACAGTATCTCTAAGGAGGGTATCATCCATCATCAGAGGGTATCAAGTACACGAGTTTCTAAGGCCGAGCTTGGAGGACAAGGCGCATAAAGTGCAGTTTCTGGTATTTCGAGATATACTTGTTTGAAGTTTCGAAATTACACGGTTCTTCAAAGCGGAGCAGAAAGTTCAAACTGACTTTTTGATACTTAAAAATTAGAATTTGGGAGCGAATTTTTCATAGACTATAAGGTGAGGTCGGGTAACTGGGCAAGAGTTCGGAGAAAAATGTCAAAATTTCAACTTCATGATTTTTTCTCCATCATTACTTATATTGACAGTGGAGGCTACTTTTAAATTTTTTTTAGTAAGTACAACACCTTGTCTAAATGTAGGAAGAGTCAAAATTCGAATTCCATCTTTCAATTTTTTCCCACAAATTTTCAAAAATTTCCCGTTTTTTTGACCCAGTTACCCAACGTCGTGGGGTAACTGGACTACCCCCCTTAATTTTTGAGGGGGGCATTATTTTTAATTCTCATTGGCCAGAAGGTGATGTTCTGCTCATGAAGGTTTAAGAAAATGTCATTTGAATGTATATAAACATGTTTAAGTGGTTAAGAATGATGTCGTAACATGTTAGCGGCAAAACAACCCTCAAATCTGAGAATTATAACGGTAAAAAAAAATTGTTTCTGCACTAATATGGTAGAAATACAGAGGGTACTGCCCAGTTACCCGACCCCACCTTACATGAGGTTATCAGTTTTATACCTACTTAAAATCATTAGTATCTCAATTTTTTCAAAAACTGCACTTAAGTATGAGCCTTTGTCCTCCAAGCCCCTTCTTAAATCCTTCTGCAATCTTCTTTTAGAGCAGGCACTATGGCTATACAGGGTGTACCAAAAGTCCGTCCCACCCCTGCTAACTTTTGAACGAATTGAGCTAGGGTATATGAAACTTTGGGAATGTTCCTATCTCAAAGGGGACCATCTTTTGGGGGGGTCAAAATTTTGGTCCCCCCTCAGGGGGGGCGGGGGGGGGCCCAACTTTGTAATTTCGAAAGGCAACCCCTATCTTGTGATACATCATTCGAAAGAGCATAAAAAACTACGAATTTTGGCGCAAACCGCAGATTAATATCTTAATTTTTGACCGAGTTATGATAAGTCAAAGGTCAAATTTGACCTATTTTCAAAAAATCATAACTCCGGTTAAAATTATCGTAAAGAAAAAAATAAAACGGGAAAATCTACCAAATTGTGTCCGCTTTTAAGTCAAAATTGCAGAAATCACATCGCTGTAATTTTAAGGGGGGGCTCGGACCCCAAAATACGTCAAATCAAAGGTCATTCAATTTTCCCGCGAAAAAAGGCAATTTCCCCTAGATTTGCCTCCACATTATCTCAGTAAGGTCAAAATTAGTTCAACATTACGTTGGCAAGTCCCCAAATTTCGGGAAAAGTTAAAAAAACGAAATTTATGGTGATTAAATTTGACCGTTTAAATTTCTTTTTTTTTTAACTTTTCCCGAAATTTGGGGACTTGCCAACGTAATGTTGAACTAATTTTGACCTTACTGAGATAATGTGGAGGCAAATCTAGGGGAAATTGCCTTTTTTCGCGGGAAAATTGAATGACCTTTGAATTGACGTATTTGGGGGTCCGAGCCCCCCCTTAAAATTACAGCGAAGTGATTTCTGCAATTTTTACTTAAAAGCGGACACAATTTGGTAAATTTTCCCGTTTTATTTTTTTCTTTACGATAATTTGAACCGGAGTTATGATTTTTTGAAAATAGGTCAAATTTGACCTTTGACTTATCATAACTCGGTCAAAAATTAAGATATTGATCTGCGGTTTGCGCCAAAATTCGTAGTTTTTTATGCTCTTTCGAATGATGTATCACAAGATAGGGGTTGCCTTTCGAAATTACAAAGTTGGGGCCCCCCCCGCCCCCCCTGAGGGGGGACCAAAATTTTGACCCCCCCAAAAGATGGTCCCCTTTGAGATAGGAACATTCCCAAAGTTTCATTACCCTAGCTCAATTCGTTCAAAAGTTAGCAGGGGTGGGACGGACTTTTGGTACACCCTGTATATGGGAGGCAATATTGAATTAAATGTTTGACAGCAGGAAACTTTTAAAAGACGTAGGTACTATGAGATCAAAACGTCACGATTTAAGTATAAAATGAAGGAGGTATATGTAAGTAGGCAAGTTTTATTTTTGCTTCAAAAATTGACGATTTTGAACACACTTTGTTAATCGTAAACGTTGAAAAAGAAACTGATCTTAAAGACTCCATTTTCTGATCTACAACACCAGTTCACACTTTTAAACGGCAATTAATGGATTATAAGGTTAAATATGAGAGTCTTTTTTTTCGACTTTCATCTCTTTTTCCTCAAAGCTATGAAGATATATGGTTCTTACCATTTTCATTCTTCAGATGCTTCAAGTAAGAAACAGTGATTCCGAAACAGGTACCTAAGTTTCATTGTCACTTCTCTTTCATGATTTTAAAAAAGGTAAAACAAATGCAATAGGTACCTATAGGTATGTACTTAGTCTTGATTTGGAAGCATTTAAAATCAAGAAGAAAATAAAATAGGTAGGCACCTAAAATAAAAAAAATTGAAAAATAATGACAGGTAGATATTACTACATTTCACTGATGAATGAAAACATCTGATACAGGCAAACTATTTCATGTTTATTTGACCATTTTTTTAATCAGAATAAAACAAAAAAACAAAAACAAAATTCCAATTTTTTCAATGAAAACGAGTTCAGTTCTAAATATTACTACCTTAGGGTAGGAAGTGTAAGTACAGAAACTCTTGTTTGACTAAACTTAGTGACACTCTCTTCTAAATAGTAAGGATTAATTCCAAGAGGCATTTGGTTGTAAAAATTGTACAAAAATGTGAGTAAAGTTATGGTGCCCATCCACCCATTACAGTGATCAAACTTTCTATTTCTATTCATACGGTGTGCTGATATGCTCATGATCATTACATCGAGTTCCTTGTGGGTTTGATGTGAGAAAATAAAATTATGTTTTTAGTGTCTTAATAAGTAAAACATTTTGAAAATAATGAAAGTGAGCAAAATTTGGAGAAAGCTTATTTTTTAAATGCACCTTCCAAATTTTTACTGGGAGCTGATTGTGATACCTCAAGTTTCTGAAAGTCACCCTGCACCTTACCCAGATTTGAGAATGCTTCGTTGCTCTTACAACACTCGCCTCTTATTCTCAGTTTGGTGACATATCAAACTGAAGGTAAATAAATCTGATAAAACAACATTGTACATTATGAAGAGAGATCAAGAAGAAACAAAAGCTTAGGTAGTTCCTTCACATTTTAACTATTAGTAGGTACCCACTAACAGATACTTGAGCGTGGATAAAAACTATTTAAATACGAAGTAATAGTATTGGACAAATTTTGATGAGTGGAAAAGATAGAGCTTGCATCTGATAAGTTGACACTTTCCTTCCTGTTTTCAAGCAAATAAACTGCCGCCATCAGGGATTGACGAAGAGTTGCAAACCAACAGTGAACTGATTTTCCTGCACAGGGACTCACAAATTAGAGTGTCAACTTACCTGACGTCAGTTCAATTTTCTTTTTTGGATTTTTTTGCAACGGCAGATGTAACAACTTACTTAATTTGAACTTACACAATTCATGATAATGGTCATAGAAGAACAACAGCAGGTATTATTTTCTCTTTATCATAGGGAGTGTTTCAGATTGCTGACTTACTATCTACAGAAGTAAAATAGTGCCAAGGAGTAAATAATGTCTGCCTGTGTATGATTCTCAGAACACTACTGAACAAACAACTAATGCCTTACAGACACAAAAAGGTGCGGACATGATCTGAACCATTACTAACTCTTAGCTTTGCTCTTTGCTTTTTTGAGAGCGTCTTCTTTTCGAAGACGCTCTAGTTCTATTTCAACTAATTCATCAAGTTGGAGCATGGGCTGATAATAAGCATGGACTGATTGCGCCCCCATGAAAGTTAATCCAGCTGCCCAAGAAAAGAACTTGACAGCGTCAGGACCTCTTATTCCGTACATATTGCTTCAATTCCAGCGATAATTGATGGAGATTATTCCTTTATTGTGCTCCGGAAGCAGCTGCTTGCTTCTTAAATTGTTCTTGTTCAAACTTCAGTTCTGCAAGTTCTATCGCTCGGTTCCTGTTGTAAACTTGATAAAAGGTGATATTGGTGCCCCAAGGCTTCCAATGAATCATAAGATATTCCATACCAGCTCCAAGGAGGAAGAAAAGAGGCAACGTTTTGAAGGGACCATGGCCAGGTATAAGTTGAAATAATTTTACTAAAGTTTTATTTCGACGAAGAAACATCTATGAACTTCTGAAACAAACTCTTACCAGGTGATTTTCAGATTGACACAGTAAAACTAGGAGTAAATGCAAAACACGCCAACACTATTTTCGCGAGCAGGGTGCAGAAACGAAAAGGTTATCTTGTAACTGATGTGATAGCAAGATGTGAATGATGTGATTGATGCATTGACGTATAATACAATCTAGACCGCGCATTGGGCCCGACTTTAGGCGGGGAAGGTAAGACAGCTAAGG